ATTACTTGGTGTTACAATGTCATTATAACATATGGAACTAATATACACAGTATATTATACACTCTGGAATTAATTTACATAGTATAATCTCATGGCTATAGATAGTTCTTTTTCACTGTGCTTGTGCCTCCCCAATTTGGGGGTCGTTGGGGGTCTTTGACGAAGGCTTCCAAAGTCATCTTTGCATCTGAACTTTTCAACTTTGTCTTCAGAGCATGCACAGCTATGGTGTTCCTTGGTCTGTCTGGTCCTAACCGGTCTAATTACTTTATTTTGTGGCTAATTGGCTTGATGTTTGCTAAGTTTTCATTAGTACTATACTGACCTCTCTCTGAAACTGACCACCTGGTGAGATTTTCATTTTTTTTCCCCTCTCTCCAGCAGTGAGCAACCAATTAACCATATACTAGCCAGTACAGGTTATACTAGTCTCTATCAGGTTAAATAGATCCATGAAATTATGATTCAGGTTCTATTGATATCTGGTGATACAGATCTATCAGGTTCTATTGATATCTTCTAACTCAACCTATAGAAGCAGCTTGTAAGTTTGACTTAAGTTCTATAGGCATCAAACCCCCCAAGACATGTGGTGATATTTTTCTTTTTCACCCTGTTTTGGGAGGAGGTGAGCTTTTGTCTTCCCTGACAAAAGCACACTTGCTGCCAAGGGAAACACAGCTGAGGAGCAGGAGTGACCCAGCCTTCCCTTTTGCTTCCTTTCTTCTTCCCTCCCTGCTGCACAGCTCCCTTGCTCCAGAAGCGCGATGCTGCCTCACCTGAGGATTCAGAGCTGCCTCCAGGCCCTTGCAGGAGAAGTGCAGGTGCTCAGGAGAGTGAGGCTTCCCCAGCACCTGCCAAGAAAGTCTGTGCCACCTCTGCACTTGCTGGGGCTTCACCAGTGGAACCATCAAGAGAGCTCATCCAGAGATTTAATCTCCGCAAGCTCACGGTTCCACTGGTTCGCCTGGACCTGAAACGCCATCCTGAGCTCATGGTTCGCCTCACTCCAGTCGACCCTGAAGCTGCTTGCAGGGCCCTTGGGCAGAGCAACAGCTGCTCATCTTCTCAGCAGCACAGCCCAGCCTGCCACCCATCAGGTAGGGAAAGAGTTTCTAGCCTTCCTTTTCCAATAGCTCCTGGCAACTGAGCCTTTCAAGTGTTTTCCCTGAGTCCTCTGTCATGGCTAGATCTCAAGTGAGAATCACGGAGAAAGTGTACTAGGAAGTGGGACTGTGAATGCCAAAGTATTCTCTGCTCTTCCTGTCCTTCCTGCAGATGTGGAGCTTGTTGTGGGCATTTTCCAGACAGCCTGTCTGCTGTGGTGCAAGGGCAGGGCGAAAAATATTGCCTGACAGACAAGTGGTCAGTGTTAGGTGAACTCCCCTGTTTCTTGGAGTGAAGTCCAACTAGGACGGTGATAGGATATTGCAGATGTTTCAGACTGACTGGCCTGCAAATCGGGCCGTGCCATTGAAATGAGCTCTGTGTGCCTCAGAACAGCTGCAGCTGCAGAACATGGCCTCACCTACAAGGTTGCTTTTCGAATAAACTCCCAGTTGAATTTCTCAGTGTGTGCCTGAAGATCCGGGCTCTTCTTGGGTGAATGCACGTTCTGTGGCCTTCTGTGTTGAGAAACTCAAGCAGCCAAATCTAAAAGCTGCAGGGGAGATAGGGAAGGCTGTGATTCTAAAGTTTTTGTGTGCCTTTGGTGCAGAAGGGAGAAGAGCTGGCAGCTGGCTTTCTGGCAGTTGCCTCCTGCCAAGGAATGGCAGCAGGACACTTTTCCCAGACAGATGAATAAGTATGGGAGAGCTCAGTAGACAAGGAATTGGTTGTTGCAAAGCTTCAGAACATGTGGGGAATTTTCTCCTTCTCACCCTACTTGGGAGGATGGGAGCTTCTGTCTTCCTTGGGAGAAGTACAGTTGCTGCCAAGGGAAACACAGCTGAGGAGCAGGAGTGACCCAGCCTTCCCTTTGCTTCCTTTCTTCTTCCCTCCCTGCTGCACAGCTCCCTTGCTCCAGAAGCGCGATGCTGCCTCACCTGAGGATTCAGAGCTGCCTCCAGGCCCTTGCAGGAGAAGTGCAGCTGCTCAGGAGAGGGAGGCTTCCCCAGCACCTGCCAAGAAAGTCTGTGCCACCTCTGCACTTGTTGGGGCTTCACCAGTGGAACCATCAAGAGAGCTCATCCAGAGATTTAATCTCCGCAAGCTCACGGTTCCACTGGTTCGCCTGGACCTGAAACGCCATCCTGAGCTCATGGTTCACCTCACTCCAGTCGACCCTGAAGCTGCTTGCAGGGCCCTTGGACAGAGCAACAGCTGCTCATCTTCTCAGCAGCACAGCCCAGCCTGCCACCCATCAGGTAGGGAAAGAGTTTCTACCCTTCCTTTTCCAATAGCTCCTGGCAACTGAGCCTTTCAAGTGTTTTCCCTGAGTCCTCTGTCATGGCTAGATCTCAAGTGAGAATCACGGAGAAAGTGTACTAGGAAGTGGGACTGTGAATGCCAAAGGATTCTCTGCTCTTCCTGTCCTTCCTGCAGATGTGGAGGTTGTTCTGGGCATTTTCCAGACAGCCTGTGTGCTGAGGTGCAAGGGCAGGGCGAAAAATATTGCCCGACAGACAAGTGGTCAATGTTAGGTGAACTCCCCTGTTTCTTGGAATGAAGTCCAACTAGGACGGTGATAGGATATTGCAGATGTTTCAGACTGACTGGCCTGCAAATCGGGCCGTGCCATTGAAATGAGCTCTGTGTGCCTCAGAACAGCTGCAGCTGCAGAACATGGCCTCACCTACAAGGTTGCTTTTAGAATAAACTCCCAGTTGAATTTCTCAGTGTGTGCCTGAAGATGCGGGCTCTTCTTGGGTGAATGCACGTTCTGTGGCCTTCTGTGATGAGAAACTCAAGCAGCCAAATCTAAAAGCTGCTGGGGAGATAGGGAAGGCTGTGATTCTAAAGTTGTTGTGTGCCTTTGGAGCAGAAGGGAGAAGAGCTGGCAGCTGGCTTTCTGGCAGTTGCCTCCTGCCCAGGAATGGCAGCGGGACACTTTCCCAGACAGATGAATAAGTACGGGAGAGCTCAGTAGACAAGGAATTGGTTGTTGCAAAGCTTCAGAACATGTGGGGAATTTTCTCCTTCTCACCCTACTTGGGAGGATGGGAGCTTCTGTCTTCCTTGGGAGAAGTACAGTTGCTGCCAAGGGAAACACAGCTGAGGAGCAGTAGTGACCCAGCCTTCCCTTTGCTTCCTTTCTTCTTCCCTCCCTGCTGCACAGCTCCTTGGTGCCAGAAGCGCAGTGCTGCCTCACCTGAGGATTCAGAGCTGCCTCCAGGCCCTTCCAGGACAAGTCCAGATCCTCAAGGGCGTGAAGCTTCCCCAGCACGTGCCAAGAAAGTGTTTGCTGCATCTGGACTTGGGGTTTCATCAGGCCAGCCAGGCACACACAAATTTCAATTCCAGCCAGAGCTCATGACTCCACCATTTCCTGCGCACCATCAAAGCACTTCTGCGGCCTCTCCAGAGAGCAGCAGCTGCACTTCTCCAGAGCAGCACTTGCCAGCCAACATCCCATCAGGTACGGAATGTGTCTCTCCCCTGGCTTTTCAGAAAGATCACAAAAAGTGACTGAAGTATTTTGCCGCGGTGCTCTGTCATGTGTCCATTTGATTGTGACAATCAGGTGTCAAGGGTACTAGGAAGCAGGATCATGAATATCAGAACAATCTCTGTCTGCTTTTCCCGTCCTTGCTGCAGATTTGGAGGATGTTCTGGCCATTTTCCAGGCAGCCTCTGTGTAGAGGTCAAAGGGCAATGCAAAGAACATTTCTCCACAACTGGTCGGTGTCTGGTGGGTGAACTCCCATTTTTCTTTGGATGAAGCCAAACTAGGACTCTGATGGGATATTGCAGAGTTTACAGATTGTCTTTTGTTGAGATGAAATACAAGGGATGGCACCACCGTGCTTTGAGATGATTTATTGCTTAAGTAGCCCAATAAGAGATCAGTCCCGAGGCGTGAGATTTACAGGCAACAAGTCAACCACAGCTCGAGGAAGTTATGAGTTTCTTCTCCGCATGGCAATATATAACTTTTTAGTCCAGTAGACAGTTGACACCAAGTTTGTTTTCACTTATTAAGCTCTTATCACCTTTACTTGATTTTGCCACACTGCGTCTGTCTTTTAACCAACAAGCTCACAGGTCACGTATTCACACACACTTCTGTTATAGTTCCTAGATCTCTAACTTACTTTATAAATCACACTATTACACTTTATACCTCCAACTATTTTACTTCATATAATTTCTTACTTACTCTAGGCATATTCTTACTTGCAACTGTAAGAACATAGGTTTAGAATTACTCTACCTAATGTCTGTGTACTTTCATCACTCCATCAATCCAGGCTTTTTCTAAGGCTGCAGATTTTCCATTTCCAACAGTCTCTCCCGCAAATAATGCTATGAAATTTCAGTGCACGCTGGGAGTCCCCAGAACAGTTGCAGCTGCAGACCATGGCCTCACCTCCATGGTTGCTCCTTAGAATAAACTCGCAGTTTAAGTTTAGCATGTGTGTCTGCACCTCTGGCCTCTTCCTGGGTGAATGCACTTTCTGTGGTCTCTTGTGATGAGAAACTCAAGCAGCCAAATGCCAAAGCTGCTGGGAAGATGCAAAAGGCTGTGATTCAAGGTGATTATGTCTGTGTGTATGTCTAGATCAGTTTCCCAAGCCATACTTTAATCTATGTACACGTCGATTAGGATAATACTTTTGAAGGGGAAGAGCTCACTCTTCCAATTCCCTGGGAAGTTTTTAATACCTTTCTGGAGTTGAGGTTGCTGTGCGCTTCCTGTGATGTTTGATCCAAGGCAGCAATAAAGCTCTGCGTCCCAAAGCCTCATTTTGGAGCCTCACCCATGTTTTTGGATTCTTCCAGCCGCCCCGGGCACTTCAGTCCCCAGTGCTCCAGCTGGCAGTGCTGGTTATGCAGCATGGAGAGCCCCAAGCTGGGTATGGAGTACTCCTGGGGAAGAGGAATTGCCACCGCTGGATCTGGACCTTGTTCTGGAGACACTGGAGGAGATGCTTTCACCATCTGTGCCTGAAAGGTCTCCCTCTGCTCAGGTAACTCCATTGGACAGGGATGAGAGGGGCTGGACTGAGAGCTTCTGAATGTTGTTGCATGGCTGAGAAGCAAAGGCTTCTTGAATTCAGCTGGGAATGGACACGGAAGGATTTGCTTGGTCAAGCAAGATTTGCTAAGGAAGAGGGAATGAAAAGGGGGGATAGCCCTTAAGTGAGGATGAGAGGTGTTTGCCAGGTTTGGATGCTCCTTTTTCTGGGAAGAATCCCTGGTGCAGGGGCATTTGTGGGGAGGAAGTGGAAGCTTGGTGGGTTCTAACAGGCTTTGTTTGATGGGAAAGAAGAGAAGAGCGTTTGGAGAATTGCCCCTGAAGGCAGAGTGGGAGGGGCACACGAGAGGTGCCAGCAGCAGATGTGGGCTCTGCCTCTCTTGGGCTGGAAGGCCAAGGCAAAGCAAGGGCTGGGCTGCAGCTGCTCCTGCAGCTGCTGCTGCTGCTGTGTGAGCCCTGCTGTGCGTGTAGGCATTCCCAGAGCTGTGTGTGGGGATGGCATTCCCAGAGCTGTGTGTGGGGATGGGCTGGAGCTGCAGCTGTCTTGCCCTCTCAGGAACCTGGTGCATGCAGTCCAGTTTCCAGCTGGGAAATGCTCAGCTGAGCAAACTGGCCAGTCTTGCTCTCCGTGTTCCAGAGCTCAGTCACCTTGTGGGAAGAAGAGATGTGTGTTGCCAGACAGTCCCTGCAAAGCTGCAGCCTGCATGAGACTGTTGTGCTTAGGGCTGTGGTGGCAAGAGCACATCCCTGTGCCAGGAGCTAGCAGGACTCCATCCTTAGCGCCCACTCCATGGCTTGAGTGTCATCCCCACGCTCAACAGCCTTGTCAGCCTTGACAGCTCTTGGAGCGTGTTGGAGAAGTCAGTGTTTTGGACTGTTGAAGGCCTCTGGGGCCCAGAGCTCCTTGTTAGGAAGAAGGGATGAAGTGTGTGAGCCGTGGAGTCTTCAGGGGGCAGATGTCTTGGTTTTGAGGCCCCATGACTTGTGTGATTGGTGAGAAGGACAAGGTTGGTGCTGGCCATGAAATGGTTAAGGACTCCTTGAAGCCCAGGGGCTCCTCCTGTGTTGAAGAGCAGTTCAATCAGGGCCCATTAGTCCTTGTGTTTGACAGATTCCCTCTTGGACTTTGGAATCCCTTTTTTCTTAAGTCTTGTCTCTTCCCAGACTGGCCTGGAGTGTTCAGTTTCTGCATTGGCACAGGCCTTTTTGCATCTTATTCTACAACTTTGCCAAAGAATTTCTCTTCTTTCATTTAATATGCAGACCCATTGCATGGGTAGATTTCTTCTTGAGGAAGGGCAGACTGGAGGTGGGGAGGGGGATTTTTTGGAACTGCCCATATCTTCTTGCCAAGTGCGATGAGCCTTTGTCTTCTGCAAACTCCCGCGTATATACCAGTTTTCAAAAGCAATTTGTTGGTGCACAGAAGGAAATCTGGCAGGCTCTGATTGTATCCCTGCAGAATCTATTGGTTGATCTTTGCATTTCCTTCTTTCTGTTTTTCTTTTCAGGTCAATGCTAGTGTTGCCCGTGGCTCTTCAGGAGGGGAGGCTGTGAACAAGGCTGCAGCAGAGGGAGCTTTGCCTGCTTGCGGGAGCTGTGTGAACGTTTGCCAGGAGCCCGAGGAGCTTGGTAAGGAGTGAGCCCAGCGTGGTTTAGAGAGATGGGAGACAGCTGCTCTGAGCCTGCCTCTGACAGGAAGGGAGATCAGAAGAGTTGAGTTCTTGTCTGCAGCAGGGTTGGTGCTTCCTGGTGCCTTTAGTTCCAATCCTGCACTGGCACAAGCTCCCCGAGCCCTGCCCCTCCATGCTTTTCCAGAGGCTCTGACACCGAGTCCTCTGCTGTGGCAAGAGAGCCGGCAAGAAACCTGAGCTGGTGGCAGTTGTGTCACCAAGCTGCGTGTCCCAATTGGTTCCCAGCTCACAGCAGCCTTCAGCTTCAGCCACTGCAGTGAGGACTGACGTCTCTGCGTCAGCCCAGAGAAAGAACAAGGCTGGGCTTCTTTGTGGCAGCTGGCACTGTCTGTGTTTCAAGCTCTCGGGGGTGCCATTTGCACTGGGAGGGTTGTGAATTGATTGGCGTACTTCAAAACTTCACAAGACTGGAAAACTTGGAAGGATCCCTGTTCCCTTTAAAGAGCAGGCTTCAGATTCTCAAGTGAGAGTGTGCCTTTCAGGCCATCTTTGACAGCCTTTGCTAGCAGGACAGTTTACTTGCAAAGGGAAAGCTACACGGAGGCCAGCATTGACTGAGAGTTGCCTTTCCTTGCCAGATATCCATGTGATCTACCTGGCCAGAAGGGCTGCCCTGCGTGGGAAGAAGGATCAGAGGGAGAGCCTGTGACCATCGGGCAGGTGGCATCCCTCTGTTTATAGATATAGTTAGAGATTTTTTATCTTGATTTATTTATACATATAGTTACAAGTATAGATTGATAGAGTTGTATTTATAGGTGTATCTATTTATCCATCTGTAGAGTTTGTATGTATAGTTATGGATGCAATAGGATTTTATTTCTATGTATACAGTTAGATTTATAGATTTTCAAATTTGCATAGATATATGTAGAGAGTAACATTTATATGCACACACAGTTACATTTATAAATGTGCATAGTTCTTTAGTTAGAGCTCTATGGATGTAGAGGCCCATAGATTGAGCTGTGTAGGCCTAGGCTGCATTTTTGCCTCTTTCCCCCTTGGCTGCCTTTTTCATCTCTTGTTTTTCCCGCTGTGCCCCTTGTGTCCCCCTGTGCTGGGTCCGAGCTGGGGCCGGGCCAGGCGGAGCAGCAGTTGCAGCCCTGGCTGTCCCTGGAGCGGTGGGAGCTGCCGCTGGCCCCAGGCACTGTCCTGTGAGGAGCTGCTGAAGGACGCTGAGACTGAGGGGGCTGAGGAGGCGCTGATGCTGAAGGGACCTTGCAAACCTTGAGGTGTGAGGGGCACTGAGGGCTGTGGGGGAGCAGAGGGCCATGGTGGCACGGAGGTGACAGAGGCACGGGCTGAGGGCTGTGCCGGCTCTGAGGGGACACAACGGCTCAGAAGGGACTGAGCGGGGGGAGAGGCCTGGGAGAGGCCCAAGAAACTGAAGAGGGGGCTGGGGCTTTGCCGAGAGGACGGCGGGGCTGAGGGGATGGAGGGGGCCAGGAGGGAGCACACAGAGCTCAGGGACTGCAGCTCTGCCAGGCCTTGGAACCGATTCCAGAGCCTCCGCTTTTGCCACCACAGCTGTGCTGAAGAGCTTGAGGACAGGCAGACACTGAGAGGAGCCAGCAGGGAGAAGCTGAAGGCCTGGAGCAAGAGCAGTGAGCAGGGATGTGCTGGGGCCACGCGAGAGCCTGGGTGAGGCCCCAGGGCTGGTGAGGCCGGGCAGGGCTGAGGGTGGCGTGGGCTTTGGCCGTGGGCGCTGCCCGGCCGGGCAGGAGCGGCCCCTGCCCGTGCTGGGGCTGCTCAGCGCTGCTGCCCCGGCCGGCACAGGGGCTGTCCTTGGGCAAGGCAGCTGTGCCGGCAGGGCCCGGGAGCTGTGCCGGGCTGCCGGGGGCTGCGGGACAGTCCCGCCGCGCCTGCGCTCGCCACACGCTGGCCCGCTCGGCCTGCTTGTTCTTGCCAACCCTCCTGGGGAGGCTCGGAGATTTTCGCTTCCCTGCTGGAAGTGCAGCTGCTGCCAAGGGAAAGGTCCCAGCACTGACTCGCTCTTCCCTTTGCCTCCCAGATGTCCCATCTGCTGTCCCTGTCCAGGAGAGCTGCTCTGCATGGCAGGAAAAGACTGAGGGAGAGGCTTTG